CATTTGTGCTATATTTTTTAAATCAGTCACATAGACAACTTCTCAAAATTTGTCTTATATGTATGGGAAACAAAAAAATTCTAAAAAATATGTGGTATATTTTTTAAATCTCAGACTATTTCTCAAATTTTATTTTATATCTATAAGAAACAAAACAAAATCCTAAAAAAATCATGTGCTATATTTTTTAAATCGCACAAGACCATTTCTCAAATTTGTCTTATTTATTTATGGAAAATAAAACATTTGACTTTGGCATCTAGAAGCCAAAGCCCCATAGGGTCCCCCCACGTCTACAGTATACAGGAGTAGCACGTTGTCTTCTAGATGGGATCCGCTTAAAAAGAAAATCCTATAACTTATTTATTCATGACAAGTGAAAACTGAAAATCATAATTCATCGTTAGCTTCTTGCATCTTCGGCAATCGACATGGACACGTCCACCGATGAAATCATCAAAGAAGTCCCCGGTTTGGTTCGTATATTCAAAGACGGTCGAATCCAGAAACTTTACGTACCCAATATTGTTCCCGCCGGCATCGATCCTTCCTCCGGCGTCATTTCAAAAGACGTCGTGATTTCACAGGAAGTCAACATCTCTGCTAGGCTTTACATCCCAAAACCCACAAACTCCCACCAAAAACTCCCGCTTTTAATCTTCTTTCACGGCGGTGGATTCGTCATCGAAACCACCACCTCCTCCATGTACCACAACTTCCTCAACCTTGTCGTTTCAGAATCCAACGTCGTCGCCGTCTCCGTCGACTACAGACTAGCGCCGGAGTTTCCCCTCCCGATTGCCTATGAAGACTCATGGGAAGCGATCAAGTGGGTCGCGGAGCATGTCAACGGGAATGGTCCAGAGCCGTGGTTGAACGAATACGCCGATCTTCAAAACATCTTCATCGCTGGCGACAGTGCCGGAGGTTATATAGCCCACCACATGGCGATCCGGGTCGGATCGGATACCCCATCCGGTTTAAGGTTCCAGGGTGCTATCTTGCTTCACCCGTATTTCTGGGGGAAAGAACGGGTGGGTGACGAGTCCGATTGGATTAAACCCGAAATGGTTGCTTACTTGGATGGCTTGTGGGCATTGGCTCACCCGGGAAGTAGCGGACCGGATGACCCGTTGATTAACCCGGATATGGATCCAAGAGTAACGGGTATCGGTTGCTCCAAGATGCTGGTTTGTATCGGTGGAAATGATTTTATGAGGGCTAGGGATTGGAATTACAAAGCAGTGATTGAAAAAAGTGGATGGAAAGGAAAATTAGAAGTGGCAGAGGACAAAGGGGAGGAACATGTGTTTTTCCTAAAAAACTCTTCGGCTGCAAATGCTTGTACTTTACGAGCCAGAATCTTTACATTCATAAATGAGGTCTGAGAGAACGTATTGTATGCTAAAATAAATATGAATGTTTTATTTTAAAATGTTAATATTTTGATGGACTTTTTGTTGAATTTACAAATTAATCTTTTCACAGGCATCTGATTTTTGGATGTAATATTTTAAAATTTTAATAGAAAACCTTATAAAAACCCAACATAATTTTATCAAAGTCTTAAAAAAATCACTATATTATTTTTTTGTACGTTAAAACTTTTATATTTTTTGAAATGTATCATTTAAGACATTGAGCTCGGTAAATCCTAGATAGCCGAAAATACTAGGTAATCGATTCTCAATGTTTTGATTGTTACAATTCATTAGATTAAAAAATTTCAAAAAAATCTGAAGGTTTAAATGCACTAAAAAATAATATAATGGTTTTTTTAATCATTTCATGAAAATAGATTAGGTTTTCTGAAATCAGAAAACCTTAAAAAAAAAACTTCAGAAAATATAAGGGTTTTATTACATAAAAAAATGTGATTTTTTTAAACATTTGATGAAAATACGTTAGTTTTTTCTAAGGTTTTCATAAATTTTAAACAGGATAGCCGAGACCTTTTGTTTGATCCTGAATTAATAAATACCCTTAAATTTTTGTTTAATAAGTTCATTAATTTAAACTTTAGCATTTATTACAAAAATAAAATTAATATCAAAATGTTCACAATTCCCTACCAATTACTAAATCAAATGATCTTTGGCTTAGCGGTAAGGAGTGACATCCCAAATGAGAGGTTATGGATCTTAAATGAGATGTTATGGATTTAAATCTCATTAAAAGACATAGATGATATTTAGGAGTAGGTTAGTTTGTCGATTAAAAAACAAATTACATCGTCATTTTGATTCAATGAATATTCTTAATTAAAAATGTGGTTGAACGTGAATTTATTATTCCATTAAAACTTTAAGACCGCTCGGAATGGGAAACGAGTGTTCCCGTTAATCCGACGTGGACGTCCCACAATGCCGGTATAACGCGCAAAACACCGCCCCCTAGCCGTTATTAGGCGTTATGGTACCGGGCGTTTTCGTGGTAACGGGAAGAAACGGAGGAAATACGCACGTTTTTCTTGCAAAGGTCATAAAATGGACTGCTATTGAACGGTCAAAATGGTAAAAAAAAACTATATTTCTTTTTTCATTTTTCACTCTCTCTCTCTCTCTCTATATATAATATATATATATATATATATACACACACACACACACACACACACACACACATTTTCACTTCAAATATCACTCACAATTTCTCACTTTAAATTTTTACATATCCTCAATTCATTTTTTTACACAACTCGTCGAGTCACTCCACAAATCTCAATTTAAATAATAAAATATTATACCTGGGTATCCGGATGTTACAATTCCTCCCACTAGAATCAGACTTCGCCCTCGAAGTCATGCTCAGCAAATAACTCTGGATGCTGCTCCCGCATCTCTGACTCCGGCTCCTAAGTCAACTCGGATCCCCTCCGATGTTGCCACTGGACCTGAACCAGGGGCACTTCCTTGTTCCTCAGAACCTTCTGTTGGATTAGTGTCTAAGTCCGTAACTATATTTGGTATGTACTTGATCCGAGTGTGCATGGTCCTTTTGGGTTGCCTTCACCAAAGCAATTTGACAAGGTAATTTGATATGAGAGAGAAGATATTATGGTTTATTAATATATTATAAGAATGATATATTAAAGGAGAAATCATATTTATTTAATTAGTATTAGTCATAAATTAATTAGGAATTAATTTGGTGACTAAAAGAGATTAATTAAATAAAGGGGTATAAACTGTCAAATGTGTGATAGTTGAGTTTTGGGCTGGGAAACCCAAAGGAATAAGGAGGAACGAAATTATGATGAAGGATCATCATATTTTCGTCCAAGGGCCTCATTCCAGAAGGTTCCTTGGGCTGCTTGGTGGCTAAGCTATCCATTAGGGTTTAGACTGAAACCCTAGCACCCTACAGTATAAATAGATGCCCTATGCTTCAATTTTCAGCCACTTGATTTCAAAGAGAAACCCTAGGGCCGAAAATTAGTATCCTTCCCCTCTCTCTTAATTGCCTTCTTGCTTCAAGGTGTTTGTAAGCCATTAGAGGCACTACAATTGTGGTGCTTGCTTTCAAGAGTTCAAGAGATCAAGGAAACTAGTTGTTATTCCAATATAACAACAAAGGTATGTCTACTACACTTCTATATGATTTTCGAAAATAATAGAAGCATGCCAGGGTTTATTTTGTGTTCATATAGTTGTATGTCTTATAGTGAAAACATAGATCCAATTAGGGTTGTATGCACACATAGGATTGTTTGTATAAAACCTATCAGTGGTATCAGAGCCTTTGGTTTTTTGTTTTCAATTGGATTTGATACATATTATGAACTTGACAAATTAGGGTTTATGGCAAGTAAACCCTAAGGCTTGATGATTTTCGCAATTAGGGTTGCAAAACCCTAGTTGGCGATTTTGATAGGGTTCTTAAACCCTTTTGCCTAGCCTCCATATTTTCGAAATTAGGGTTATGAAACCCTAGGGATTTCGAAAATCCCTTGCCCCCCAAGACAAGATCCCAAAATTTTAGGGATTTGGATATTGCTATCTTTGTGATTATCAATTTAATTGTTTAAACTAGATAATTGAAGATCTTGAATTATCCTTTCCATAAATTTCAAAATCTAGGGGATAAAAAGGATTAGGTAAATTAATAGTTTAATTTTATGATAATCCTTCATGATTTAATAGTTTAAATTAATTGTTTAATTTTGATAATTATTAAATCAAAGATTTTTGGTGTTTAAAATTTTAAATTAAATGGTCTAATTTTCGAAAATTTTAAATACAATTAAGACACTAGTATTTTGAAATGTTTTTAAAATACACCCTTATACAATTATGATAATATAAGATTAATTATTATATATATGTATAAGAATAAGCTAGTCTTATCGCTAGTAGGCCTCATTCACGAAGCCAGTCTATAAGGTGGGTATAAGGTTGCTGCCTATAAAATGGCGCTTAATGGATGTACACTCACATCTACCGCTTGCTTGACTGGTAGAGGGTCGTTAGCCGAACGGATAGGATAGGGCACTTAATTCCTCATTATAAGTATAATGGAAATATTAAAGTAACTACATTGTTTTACAAATTCCCACTCTTAGTTACTTTAGGGTAAAATGTGAAAATGATGTTACTCCATGGAATTACACTTTATACCCCTGTCAAACGTTAATGGAGCGTGCGTGGTTAACCAGCACACTAATTTGGGATTGACATTGGTGACAAAGGGTGGCTCGATGTCTTATCATAGATCAATGGAGCGTGCGTGGCTAACCGGCACATTGATTAGGTGATGAAAACATTGAGTGCACCATGTTGATTCGCATGGTTATTCACAAACTTGTTTGCGATCCTCGGCATCCCAGTCGCAAATTTGAAGTGCATATCGAGATTTAAACGTGCCATTAAAATGTTCAATGAATCTCAAAAGAAATCTAGGAATTTTCAAATACATTTAAAACTTAACCTCTTTCGTTTTTCATGGTGAAAATTAGTGAATCGTCATTCACTTACCTTCAAATTATTTACTTTTAGATTACGGCATCCCTTTTCTAAGTTGTAAATAATGTTGTTGGATCCTAGCCCTAATTTCTCATTTGGGTGTTTAATTGGGGATTCATTCTAATCAAACTTTGTTCCTTTCTATTTCAGATGTCAAACGCGAACAACAACACTTCTGGGTCATTCTCGTTGATGAACCTATGTCAGAAAGTGACATTTGATGGCTCGAACTTCAACGAGTGGATGAGATATATTCGCATGATAACTCATTACGAGGACAAAGAATATGTCCTAGACGAGAAGCTAGAAAAGATCAACCCAGAAGAAGCTACTCCTGAAGAGATGGCCGCCTTTGAGGCCCACGAGCGTGATGCAACGAAAGTTCATTGCATCATGTTGGCCACCATGAACCTCGAACTCCAAAAGTCCTATGAGGACATGTATCCATATGAGATGCACCAAGATTTGTTGGAAAGGTACCACCAGAGCGCGAGGCAAGAGCGCTATGAGATCATCACCAACATGATCACCGCTAAGATGGGGAGTGGAGAATCCCTAACTGCTCATTTGCAAAGAATGCAAAGATATGTTGATCGTCTTCTCAAACTTAATGTTAAGTTTGATGAGGATTTGGCTATCGACATCATCCTCCACTCCTTGCCTTCCTGCTACAACCAGTTCAGAATGACCTACCACATGAATAAGGAAGAGGTCACCCTAAGTAAGCTTCAAGGGCTCCTGAGGACAGCTGAGAGCAACCTCAAGGACAAATCTATTGCATCATCCTCTAATGTAGCTGCTCCTGTGTTGGCAATTGGCCAAGGAAAGGGAAAGAAGAGGAAGGCTCCTTCCAAGAGCCACCATAAGGGTAAGACTCAAGATGGTTCCTCTTCTAGTGGGACCAAAGCAGGTTCTATTAAGCCCTCTTCTGACCCCAAGGAAGCAGAGTGCTTCTATTGCCACCAGAAGGGCCACTGGAAACGAAGCCGCCCTAAATATCTGCAAGATATTAAGGATGGGAAGATAAAGCCCACCTTTGCAGGTATGTATTTAATTAAATCTGATAACTCATCGTTTGCTACTTCATGGGTTCTTGATACAGGGTGTGGTTACCACATTTGTTCTGATATGCAGGGCCTAAAAAGAAGTAGGGAAGTGGAGCATGGAAGGATAAGCTTGATCATGGGAAACAAGAAGTCTTCACCGTAACCAAGATCGGAGTTTATTCCTTAGTGCTAAGTAATGGGTTAGGACTAGATTTAAATAATTGTTGCTATTCGCCAGATATGGCAAGGAACATCATTTCTTTTCATGGTTTGTTTAGACAAGGTTTCAGATATTCATTTGATAATAGTAATGGTTCTATTAATGCTTATTTGAATGGTGTCTTTTATTTCAATGCATTACCTTGTAATGGGATTTATGAA